TGAAACAAGAAAATAACATTGATTTGTATGGGCTACAGTAAAACAAAAAAAAGAGATGTCATGATCGTTGTCTGCATTAAGCCTTCTTTTCTTTTCACTCGAATAACATATTTTAATTGTTCGAAAGTAATGACAAATGTTTTTATGATCTTCTATAAATATGAATAGATAAGATCGCTTGTTTTTTCTTTCAGATAATCTGATTTCTTTCAATGTTATCATTATTAGAAGAATTAATCTCATGTAGATTCTTTATTCATTTCATACATTGGACGAAAATATAAACACCATTAAGTCAAAGATTTAAACCGAAAATGTTCGCACAAATTATTCCTTATTTTGCAGAGCATTTATATTACATGTGAAGTACATAACAAAAACTTACACATTTTATTTTAATCGATTAAAATGAAAATGAAAAACTAATAACCATGATATTTTAATAGCATGTCATAGGTTCAAAGTGGCCATCTTTCTACACAATCTAATAAAAAAGGGAGAAATCTATCTTTGTACACCATTGAATCATACTTCAATTAATATGAGAGTAATAAAATCTTTATTAGAATCTATGTTGTTCTCATGTATAATGATTCTTTGCATGTTATCGATTAGCTTTTAAATAATTCTTGATAAAAGTGAGATCGAGTATTTGGTTGTCACCATTCGATAGAGAAGATGAAGATGCATCAAGTTGTGTATCGTAGGTTCTCCGATATTGATTTCTAATTTTTTTTATTCAATTTTCTAGCTGTTCAAAACTTTTTTTAATGAAAAAAGGGAAAATACCAAGGCGAATCTTTTCCACAAGTCGATTTTCACAGACGTGACATCATAACGTTTTATCCATAGTCCTTTTACTATTTGGATATGAGTGCAAGTAAGAATCATCTCTCAAAGCATTCACGCACACACGTGTACTCAAGCCTCATATTATTCGAACTAAGATAATCGAGAGTATCGGTATGCTATATATCTACAATATACGTTTTTAGTTCGATTTAAATTAGTATATTTATAAAACTAAACTCGGAATGCTATAAACTCTCCAAGAATTTAATGCATAACCATCAATCTATACGATGTAATTATCATATTGTGGAGCAATACCTTTCTATATCTGACTTAGTGAGTTTGAAAAATATCAATAGTTTTTTCTAGAATAAAAACTGTAATCAATGATCTCTAAGCAACTGCCAAGTCCATCTGCTGTAGAGCCACATGTTGCATCCAAAGATGATGGTGATACTATGGGACAAGCCTTCTCAACAATAAATTTGCCGTCACGATGTAAGTGATATTTATATTTCATTTGTAACTATTCTAGTAGATGTTCAAAACATTGAATTGAAAGCTTTAAGAAATTCTTTAGAAAGATTGTTTATCAAGAATCAATCGAAGTTAAAATACAAAGTATAACTAGTTTATTGAATATACAGATTTAATAGTGTTACCAAGTGAAGTGAAGATTGCATGCGTTCGACTCTAGAGCTCGATATTTCATTGCATACATGTTCGCTCTCTGTTGTTATCTCTATACCGAGGTCTTAGCTATACAGTTGGAAAAGAAATACATTCGTTCTAAAGATAGATATTACAAGATTTTCTCGTTAACATTGGCTTATTTAACTATACTTGAAAATATTTTCTATTGCTTCTTTTTTAAAAGTAAGCGATAGTAGGAACTATTTAGAAAGTTGACAGAATCTCTCAAATAATGTTGTATGAACCTTATAATTTACACACTATAATATTACAGACATATACCTTGAGAGAGATTTTTATTTAATATATTAAGAATCGAAATAGTTTCATTCGTTATGTTTTATTTTTCTTCCAAATAAATATAGCTACATATCAATGTATAAGTTCAAGATTAGTGTTTTGAAGTTACGTAAATAATTTAAATAGTTCGACGAAAATGATTAACTTTCGTGTCAATTTAGTTTACATGTTAGGATGTTAAATGATGTATTTTTCTTGCAAAAATTCATTTTTCTTTATTATTTTAGGAGTATCTATTGTATTCAAGCGAGAAACATTAAACAGTAACTTGATTTAGAACTTATCACATTCACCTAAGATAAAAACAAAAAAATGTTCTTTGTGGATGTTATCTTCACATAGTTAGTATCCATGAACATCAAGTACTTCAATATAGTCACTTGTGGACTGTGGATGTGAGGATGAACAGCGAAGAAACATTCACAGGCTTACCATTCTTAGTGGTATATAGGAAAATTTGTTATTAAACAAAAAAAGACCCCTTTCTTTTAATTAAATTAGAGTTAGTTATATTGTTGCTCTCTTTTATCTATTGTTTTCATTTAGAACTTGAAGAAAAGTACCTTCCAGCTAGAAATTTCTTGGTAATTTTGTATTTCATTTTAATGAATCATATACGTCTTTCAATAAATTGAATAGAGTAAACATTATCTTCAGATTTGAAGGAACATATAAAAGCACAGTGGAAAAACTTCTATAATAAATAATAGATAATCCGTTCTTAGAGTGAAATGTATTTTTTGGAGTAAAGAATCTTACGTTAAACGAATAAACTACCTTGAAGATATAACTCTGAATAATTTTTAATTCACATCTACTTCCATCTTTTCAGAGATTTATGCAATAATTGTTTTCTATAATTTTTGTATATTATAAAAGCAATTTCAATGTATTAAGAGTTCTTTCTTTGTTTTTTGAATCATCATGTTCATATTAGTATAATTAATGCAAACATGAATCGATGAAAATAGGCAAAGGAAATAGAACATAAATAAAAACTAGATGTATTGTCATAGAACATGTCATAAATCACTACATGTGTTTCAACAAAACAAAGCTTTATCTCTCTATTTTAGAGTTATTATCATTAGTCAATTTATTGTTAGATACTTTATGTCGTAAAGAATCAAAACAATAACCTTTCTTTCTTACAATGAATCCATAACTATATCAATTCTTATTTTTTCAGAAATCATTCTTTGTGTAAAATTCTTCATCGAAATCAAAATACACATTACAATTTATAGTGTAGAATATTTATCAGCATAAATAGAACAATCATAAATACGAAAATACAAGTTTCATTTAAGTTCGTACAGATGATAGAAATTGTTTCATAACGAATTTTCAGTCATTTAATTCTTTATTGCTTTCAAGTTAGTTAAATTATTTTTTATTCCATGCTTTATTATATATCATGAAATTAGGAATTCGTTATGTTCAAAAGAATACTGATTCGTTCAAATGAATGCTGAGATATTTATATGTGAGCTCATATAACGTAGATAATGAAATTTTGTTAGTTGAAAAAGGACATTTTACGACATAAAAAGTAAGAAAGAATGTACCAATAAATATTTGGTTTTTAAGTATTATTTTTATAAAGATCCATCAGTTGGTCTCTAATACAGTGTCCTCTCGAAAAGATACTAAAAACGGAAATTCGCTAAACTGTTTTTCTTTTCTTTCATGTGTATTCTTGTGGGTGTCGGTGTGGTGATCCATTTATTAGAACTACAGCCATACTCATACTTAAATAGCAAACATTTAAGATATTTTGTAATACTCTCTCTAATAGTGCATTATTATATATTAGAACTGACTAAGTTTTAGCATGAAAAATTATCTTTCTATATCTTATTGATAATAGAAATCTGTCATAGCTTCGAAAACATTGGTTTTTTCATCTTTTTCTTCTGTACATCAATGAAAAATATTAATCATTATACGCAGGGTTTTATTTGTTCTTTTGAATAATATTTTATGATGAAAACTCTATAATTAGATGCGTACGAATCCAGGTAATATTAAAAGTATTTTGTAATATCTCTCCTGTAAAAGCACAAGCATAAGTAAATTTAATTTAATATATCAATAAGAATAGTCTAACGTAAATTTATAATAATTTCTAGAATATCTAAGATATCGTTGTCATTGGTAATTAGACTTCATTGATTTATTGCAATTGCTGCAAATGAAATCGAATCAAGTTTATAAATAGGAAAGATATAGAAGAAATGCAAAAATTTTACATTATTATCTAAAAATGACATGCATTGTGTTCAAATGAGAAAGATTACACAATTTTTGATAAAAGATATTGAGACACTTTTCCTAATTTTCAACTTATGCAATCGTATGAAAGTGCCATTAAAAATATTCATTTTAAACAATGATTGGTGATATGCCTTCGAAGAACAAAGTCAAATACTTTTTTACATAGAGAAAAGTAGTTTACATAATGTTCTTTGAATTCGTTTTTATTAAGAATTACATTTTCCAATCTAGAAAGAGATTTTTGCATGACTCCTTAGACTTGTAAAACGAAAGCTTTTTCATATTCAAACTTTGATAATTTATCTAAATGTAAAGTGATATTGTAACTTATAATTTATCGTTCGAGTTGTACAATCTTTATTTAGTCTGGAATATTCAACTGAAGCTGATTTACATCCACACTCTCGAGATGTTATAATACTTATATAGAACTCGTATACTAGAAATAAAATAGCTAATAAATTAATACGATGAATTCTTGATTTTCTTGTCATCCACCTAAACAAAAAAATAGATTTAAGTCTATTCATTTATTAGTGAAGAATGTAAATATGCTACTTATAATAATCTTCACTCTTTTTTCCCATCATAATTATGACTTAGATATTGCATCTTAATATTCTTTAATTAACATCATATGTGCCAAACAATACTTATAAAACTCAAACCCTCAAATAATTTTAACAGGAAATGTCTATTCTAACAACATATGATGTAATGAAATCAAGGATTTCACTATATTTCATTCACAGAAGGAACTTTCCTGTCTTCTTGAATTCTGATTAATAAACATATTTTATGATAGATTTTTCGTTTTTCTGATTGAAAATCACTACTATATCGAGATTCCTAGAGAGAATATTGACACAATTAGCATTGTCTATTTGATATCAATGAGGATTTATTTTCTTTTTTCGTTCATTGTAGTGATTCCTAATATGCCAATCAATGCTCGACGGAAAAAAAATGGAGTAACTGTTGCTGGTAGTCAAGGAGGAGGCAAGGCCACTAATCAACTATTCTCTCCTTATGGTTTCTTCGTTGATGATGATCAAACGATAATCATTGCTGACCATCAAAATGCTCGTATCATCCAATGGAAGATAGGTGATACGAATCAACAAGTTGTAGCTGGTGGAAATGGTGACGGAAATCGATTGGATCAATTGTATTGTCCAACTGACGTGTTATTCGATAAAAAGACGGATAGTCTCATTATTTGTGATCTAGGGAATCGACGAGTTGTACGATGGTCTCGGCGTAGTGGCGCAACTCAAGGAGAAATTCTCATCGACAATATCGATTGTTGGGGATTGTTCCTGGATCATCAGAGATATCTCTACATCTCTGACGTCGGCAAAGATGAAGTTAGACGATATAAAATAGGAGACAAGAAAGGAACTCTCGTTGCTGGTGGCAATGGCAATGGTGATGGTCTCAATCAACTCAATTCTCCGACCTACATCTTTGTCGATCAAGAACAGTCTGTCTACGTGTCAGACCGCAAAAATGAACGAGTAATGAAATGGAATAAAGATGCAAAACAAGGAATTATCGTTGCTGGAAGTCAAGGTGAAGGGGATGCTCTGACGCAATTGTTGACTCCTGAAGGACTGTTCGTCGATACGTTGGGTACCATGTATGTGGCAGATCATGGAAATCATCGAGTGATGCGTTGGCCTAAAGGAGCGAAACAAGGCACTGTCATTGTGGGTAGAAATGATGAAGGAAAAGGAACGAATTAGTTCAACTATCCTATTGGTTTGTCCTGCGATCGACATGGCAATCTCTATGTTGCCGATTTTGGGAACAATCGTGTTCGACGTTTTGATATCGAATAAAATCATAGTGAGTGATTTTTTCTTTCCTTTTCTGTCTCTTCGAAATAAATTCACGTTGATTGTTTGAAACGAGCTGTTTTTTCTTTTCTGTGCTATTCGCGCGCACGGTCAGGAACCATCCTGGTGGTGCCGTAGAGAGCACAAAGCTCATACACTCGCTGGAAGACTCACGTCGGCCACATGCACCCGCACGGTAACACGTGGCAGTGAGCGTAAAAGCCCGATCGTGTTGTTAGGGGCACCAGAACAGTTCCTGGTCAGGCTTTTAGGGACTGCTCGGAAGTCCTTTGTAGAAAGTAACCCTAATCTCAACGGACAGAACTCACCCACGCTCTTACTAACATTAATTTGTCTTAGTCTCCTCTACCCTCATACTCAAAAAAAGAAAAAAGAAAAAATTACTATTGAAGACGGACGATAATGGCTAAAAGAAAAAGAAAAACAAATACATGTTCAAAAAAATCAACAGGATGCATATAGCTAACCTATTGATCTTGGTGACTTATAATAATTTAAAGAAAAAAAACTAAAAAAAACTAAGATTGATGCATACATTTTTTATCATTGTATTATTTGTTGTTGAATTGCTTGATGTTGAGTCGTTGATGGTATTCTAAAAAAGAAAAAAACGACTTATTAGATGATTCATGTAAATGAATGATTTTGCATTGAAAAATCACTCATTTATATACTTGAAAAAGTTATTTTTTCTGTCTTTTGACCACGATAATTAAAAGAAGATAGCAGTTAAGCTTTAATCTACATATCCATGTACAGTGAGATGAATTCAATTAGCAATATCTCCATATATATGTTGTTGCCAAAATTGAAATTCAGGTAAATTTTATATTTGCCTAGACATTGCTTGGGCAGAATTGAAATTTCAATTTTGCCTGGGTAGAATTGAAATTTCAATTTTGCCTGGGTAGAATTGAAATTTCAATTTTTCCTAGGCAAAATTAAAATACAGCTAGAAATAAATTCATACAATCACGTTCTTTATCAAAAATAAAATAGACTAATATGGGTGAATAGATTAAAAGATTTTGTCGAAATGTATTCTCTTGGAATTGTTTAGTTAAATGAAGAAATATTTTTCAATAATAAAGTTTTGGGTGTGGGTGTGGATGAGATTTTATATCATCTACACCCCACACCC